TGGTGTGTGTGTGTGTGTTCGTGTGTGTGTGTGTGTTTGCTGGGGCGGGGAGAAGGGAGGAAGAAAGTATTCCCCAGTGGAGGATGGCCATGCTGTAATCCCTCCTCCTCCATTCTCCTCTTGGGATTTAGGGACACACACACACACACACATACACACATGCTTGGTATGTTTTTCTTTCCTTTTTTTAAAAAAAAAAAAAAAAGAATTATTTATTTATTTTATTTTATGTATTATTAATATTTTTAAGTTGGAGAGAGAGAGACATAGAGAAAGAGAAAGGGAAAGTGAGAAAGCAAGCTGCCAGGTCTAGGACTCAAACCACATTAGGCCATGTGGGAGTCTAACACCTTAACTATTACACTCCCAGCTGGCCCCAGACAGGTATGTTTTCCAAGCTGCTGGGCTTGGGACTTAAAACTGTGCAGTCAGCCATGTGGAATCCAGCAGCCTTAACCACCAAGTCATCAACAAGCCCAGTAATATACAGCTTTTAATTAACTTATTTGACTTTTATATTTGTATTTATTTTCACTTACATTTAAAATCATGTCAACATACGTGCTATTTTACTTTATCCCATAATATAATCTATAACTTCAAAAATAACACTACTGGGGCCAGCAGTGGTGGGTAAACGCATTAGATTCCCACATGGCCAACCTTGGTTCAAGTTCCGGACCTGCGGCTTGCTTTCTCGGTTTCCCTTTCTCTTTCTCTCTGGTCAAATTAAAAAAGAATAATAACAAATGAAATTAAATCAATAAATAATTCTTCAAAAAATAACAATACCAATATTACTAAAAACAGTAAGACTACTAAATGCAGTTCAACATTTCTTTGCAGTTCTTCTGTCCTTAGAATTTATCCCATTATAAATTAATAAATCAAAATACTATATTTTTTGGGGAGGGAGGGACCAGCAGATGGTATAATGGTTATGTTTCTGGACTCCCATGTAGTCAACTGCAGTTTGAGTCCTGGACCCCTTAAAAGTCATGCCAGACATGTGTAAATGCGTGCCCAAGATCCGAAGAGAAAAGAGGAAAAGGGATTGCAGCATGGCCATCCCCCTTAGTGGGGGTGACTTCTTGCTTTCTGTCTCTGTCTCTCTGTTTCTCTAATGAGTGCACATGCCCTATAGCAAAAATATCTAAAACAAACAAACAAACAAACAAAAAATTAGGATTCTGGGCATCTGTACATGCACCCTGCATGATTTTCAAGCTGCTGGGGCCAGTACTTGAACCTGGGTTCGCCGTGTGGGACCCAGCTTCCTCCGTACAGTGTCCAATTGATATTCTAGGGGGTTCAGCTCAAAATAATGTACTTTAAAGTAAGCTGATACAATTCTTTTAAGTTGTTATGTCACCGACTTATGTTTGTTTGTTTCAACATATTTTAACACTTTTAGGGACTGGATTTTTACTTATTTCTTTCATGTGAGTGAGAGACAGAAAGACAAGTACCTCTCCAGCCAGTCGGGGTCATGGTTGCACATGACTGATGTGTACAGGTCAAAGGAGGAACCCAGTGTCTTCCATATGGCTCCTAGAGTAGGTATTGCTGCTGCACCACCAAGCTGGCCATGGCTTTTTACTTTTTGTTTTCTTTTTTATTTGACCAAAGAGAGAAAGTGAGAAAGCTAGCTGCCAGGTCCAGGACTCAAATTGTGGTCAGTCATGTGGGAGTCCAGCACCTTAGACACCATGCCACCTGCTGGTCCCTTAACTGTCTTTTTTTTTTAATAATTATTTTATTTAGCTTTATTTGTTTATTTTAATTTGACTAGAGAGGGACAGAGTGAGAGAGAGAGAGGGGTTGGGGGAGTGAGAAAGCAAGATGCCAGGTCCAGGACTCGAACCGTGGTTGGACGTGTGGGAGTCCAGTGCCCTTAACCACCACACCACCTGCCAGCCTCTCCTTAACTGTCTTTTAATTATGTAAAATATTTATATGGTTCCAAAGTCAATATTATGTAGTGGTACTTTTAGAGAAGATTTCTGTCTTGGATCCCTCCCTACTTCCCTCCTTTCTCTTTTAGGTAACCATTTTTATTAGTTTTACATTTATCCTTCATTGACTTCCTTTTACAAATGTAAGACAAACACACATGCATATCCATTTCCTTCTTATTTTCCTACAGAGAAATTGCGTAAGGTTTTATACACTTTACTTTTTTCACTTAATATACTCTGTGAAGATCAAGCCTTTGTCATTACCCATTTTTCAGCTACAAGCATTCAATTTTGTGGATAAATCATAGTTTATTCAATCAGTCCTTTCTCATAAACATTTGGGTTATTTTCAATCTTGTTATTATAAATAAGGTTGTAATGAATAACTTTTGTTCGTAAGTCACTGTGTATTTTTGCAATGTATTTTAGAGATAGATTCCTAAAAGTTCTACTTTATAGGCAATTTTGTTATTTATAGCCAAATTCTTCTCCAAAGGAATTGTGTCATTTTATATTCCTGAAAGCACTCAGATTCTTTTAATGAACTTATTTTCTGTTTAATTCAGTCAAAGTTGTTATTTTTCAAAAATAATAATTCCGGTTGATATAATGGTATATTTCCTATTAGTATGATACTGAACCTCTCTAACTATATGATACTGAACTTCTCTAATCATTGATTTGTACAGCTAACACATGGTTTTATAATGCATGTACTTATAAACATTTTCTATATACTGTCAATTTACTGAGTATTATCTACAAAAAGCAATACAGCAAAGCTTCAGAAAACTATGCAATTTTTCCAGACTGTATTAATTTTTCCAAAGAGAATACAATTTTATTTTCTCTTGATTCAAAAATATTTCCAAGGGAACCAGTAGATGGCGAAATGGTTACATTGCTAGACTCCTGCGTAGTTGACTGCCGTTCGAGTCCTGGACCCAATGACTTAAAATTCATGCCGGGCATGTGTGCATGCATACTAAGATCCCAAGAGGAGAATGAAGATAAGGGATTGTGGCGTGGCCATCCCTCATGGGGGTGATTTCTTGCTTTCTGTCTCTCTGTCTGTCTGTCTCTTCAGCAAGCACACATGCCCTACAGCAAAAAAACTCTCTAAAAAACCATAAAAACTTCCAAGGGGCCAGCAGGTGGTGTCGTGGTTATGGCTCTAGACTCCCACATGGTCAATAATGGTTCTAACCCTGAACCTAGCAGCTTCTTTTCTCTCTTTCCGGACCTGGCAGCTTTCTTTCTTACTTTCCCTCTCTCCCTTTCTCTTTCTCTCTGGTCAAACTAAAAATAAGTAAATAGAGGAATAAATACATAAATTAATTAAATTAAGTAATTCTTTAAAAAATAATAATACTGATAGTAAACATACTTTTAAAAAACAAAGTATTTCCAGGGTAGTCTATGAACTACATGAACTGGATCCCATTATGGCAGACTGTCCAGTTCAAGTCTCAAACCCAGCAGCTTGAGAAACCCACCAGTCATGTTTGTGCATGCCCAAAGTCCTAAAAAGAGGGAGAGCTGAAGGGATTGTGGTTTGAAAGTATCCCCAACGAGGGTGCTTTCCTTTCTCTCCCCCTCCCAACTACTGCATGCTCACTCTAGCAAATAAAAATAAAGAAAGAAAGAAAGTCCTATTTACTGTAAAAACTTCACATTATTCAGAACATCTTTTTTTTTTTTTTTTTTAATTTGCCATGAGCTCTCAACAGAGATGGAGAGAAAGTGACAAAGCATCCACTCATGCAGGGGATGCTTCTCTCCTTTTAGGATTTTGGGCACACACACACAAGCACTCACAGGGTCCAGGATTCTGAACCATGTAGTCAGCCATGTGGGATCTAACTGCCTCAACCACACTACTGGCTGGCCCAACATCTATTTTTAAACAAGGAGATTGTGGTTTGTCTTGTTGAATCAATTTAACAGAGTGGCTCTTAGTCAGAGGATTACAATATATATTTTTTAAAGAGTTTTTTTTTTTTTTTTTCTATAGGGCATGTGTACTCCCCAGAAACAGACAGAAACAGACAGAAAGTGAGAAATCACCCCCCAGGAGGATTGCCATGCTGCAGTCCCTTCTCCATTCTCCTCTTGGAATCCTGGGCATGCACACACACATGCCCGGTGTGAGTTTAAGCCACCAGGTCCAGGACTCGAATCGCAGTTGACTACATGGGAGTCCAGTGACAGCCATTACGCTAACTGCTGGTCCCCCGGATTACAATATTTAATGTAACTTAGAATGTATTTCTTCTGGCTATGGATCATGATGCATTGTGAAACTAATTTGGAGGACGCTAAGCAGCATTAAAATCAAACAAATAGGCAAACCAAACACGAAAAACAGCCATCTTATACAGTAAGAGCATAAACACACACATATATATGTACAAATGGTCCCCAACTTACAATGGTTCAACTTATAATTTTCTACTCCATGATGGGTTTATCAGGATGAAACCCCATCCTAAGTCAAGAAGCATTTGTACTGTATAATTTAGTTCAGTGTACTGTATAATGTATTTCAGTTATTGCGGTCTGTGGCAAAAAAAAAAAAAGGGCTCAAGAAACATCAATTTACATTCAAGCTCTATCAGAACTGTCAATCACTACAAGAATAATAGGGATATCAGAATAAACACCTCTAAACATCCAGCTTTAAGACCAATTTATAGGGACCAGCAGTTAGCTATGTTGCTGGACTCCCATGGAATTGACCATGGTTTGAGTCCCAGACCCAGTGGCTTAAACTCACGCAGGAAGCATGTGTGTGTGTGCCCAAGATCCTGAGAGGAGAATGGAGGAGAAGGGATTGCGGTGTGGCTATCCTCCCTGGGGGGTGATTTCTCGCTTTCTGTATCTCTGTCTGTCTCTATCTTTCTGGGGAGTGCACACACCCTATAGCAAAAACCTCTCTCTCTCTCTCTCTCTCACACACACACACAAACACACACACACACACACACACACACACACAAAAGATTGATTTATAAGTAGATAGAAAGAACTAATTTTTTAAATCTTTCCAAATTTCTCCCACCTTTGAAATCTGGTAGTGCCCGCTCATCAACCAGCAACATGGGCCTGACTTGTTTCTGCTCTACTAAACTTCTGGCTGCAGTCAGAGATGTGAATATTTCATCTTCAGAGATATCAAACTCCAACTTCTTCAATCTTTCCAATAGGTCTTGCTTGCTCTCTTTGGTAGTATTGGTCACAAACCTAACCATCACAGAAGTACCACGTAACCTGGAGGAGTGAAATTCAGGAGTCAGCACATAGCTTCCACATTTTAGTCCCCATGATATCTCTTAATTAGGTAGAATTGAGCCAAAGGCTAGAGAGTGAAAAGTTAAGTCACTGAGTAAGTGTCTTCATAGATAAAAAGTTCTTCCTCTCTCTCTCTCTTTTTTTTTTTAAGAGTTTTTGCTATAACTCACCAGAGAGACAGACAGAGACAGAGAGATAGAAAGTGAGAAATCACTCCCCAGCAGGGATGGCAGATCACAATCCCTCCTCCATTCTCCTCTCAGGATTTTCGGCACACACGCACAGGTGCTAGGCATGAGTTTTAAGTTGCCAGGTCTGGGACTTGAACTGTGGTGGACAACGTGGGAGTCCAGATGTAACTATTACACCATCTGCTGGTCCCCAAAAGGCTCTTCTAAAAATCTACCAGAATTGTTTATAAATTATGACCACCCCGTGGGCAGCTTTACCGCCAAAGGCTATGATTACCTCTTCTGAGGACCTTATTCATTTTAACTGCACAGGTTCACTGCCGAATTTAGTAAAGAAATGTAAAACAAAGCTTACTAACCACTTTCCTCACAGAATCAGAGAAGTAGAAGTTCTCTTACAGATTACTGATGGTATAGCCCTCTCTTCTTAAAGTGGAGGAAACTGAGACCTACAGGAGTTAAGTGACATGTCCTTCTTTATATAACTAGGGAGCAACTAAGCTGAGGCAAGAACTGATTTTTGTGTCATGGTGTACAGTGTCTTATCTCCTATACCAAGAAAATAGAGGAAGCTTCAAAAATGTTATTAGAAACTGGCTAAGCCTTAATGGATTACTAAGGTTCTATACAGAAACTACCTGAACAGCTCAAAGAAACATTCTGTTTTTATGGACTAAAATGTGGTTTTTCCTTGAACTACTTACATGTAGAACTGATTATATTCCATGGTCTGCCTTTGAAATGTAAACTGGCAATCAGGTATCAGACAAAGAGTCCATAGAAGTCTGCAGGGCCTATAGGTGTGGTGGTTAAGGCACTAGATTTCCACATGGCCAACTGCAGTTCGAGTCCTGAACCTGGTGGCTTGCTTTCTCACTTTTCTCTCTCTGGTGAGCGCACATGCCCTATATCAAATTAAAAATAATAGTAATAATACTAAATTAAATAGTTTTAAAAAGAATTCATGAAAGTCTAATTTTCTTTTTGTTTTTTCTTTGAGAGCTTTTTGCTATAGGGCATGTATGGTCACCAGAAAGAGAGAGAGACAGAGACAGAAATCACCCCCCAGGGGGATGGTCATGCCACAATCCCTTCTCCTCCATTCTCCTCTCAGGATCTTGGGCACACATGTACACGCACCTGGCGTGAGTTTAAGCCACCAGGGATGGGACTCAAACTGCGGTCAACCCCACGGGAATCCAGTGACATAGCCATTACACCAACTGTTGGTCCCAAAGTCTAACCTTCTTTAAAAATGAAAATTATTTTCTTGGTCCTATAGTGCTTTAAGGCAAAATTCTAAAAATAATTTTAATTTAGCTACAATTTAGAGTTTCATATAAAGGCCCTGGTGCATTTTATTTTATCTTTGCCCCAAAAAGCCACAAGGCATAAAAGAACGAACTATAATTTATGAGAAGCTAAGATGGCCAGCTTATGGTATGGTGGTTAAGGCAGCTAGATTCCACATGACTGACTGCATAGTTCAAGTCCCTGTCCTAGTAGCTTAAGAAACACACTGGGCATGTGTGGATATTGAGACCAAAACCCAGAAGAGAGGGGAGAAATGAAAGAGAAGGGTTTACAACATGACCATCCCCCATGGGGTATGCTTCTTCAATTTTTCCCTCTCTTTCTCTTTCTCTCTCTCACTGATGAGTACATATGACCTCTGGCAAAGATTTTCTTTTTAATTTTAAAAATTTTTAAAAAAGGGAACCAGCACGGAACCAGCAGGTGGCGTGGTGGTTGGGCACTAAACACTATCACGTGGCCAGTTGTAGTTTGAATTCCGGACCTGGCGGCTTGCTTTCTCACTTTCTCTCTGTGTCTCTTGCAGGTCAAATTAAAAAAAATAAATGCATGAATAAATAAAATTAAATAAATAATTTTTTAAAAAGGGAACCAACTGGGGGCATAGTGGTTAAGGCACTGGACTCTCACATGGCCAACTATGGCTTGAGTTCTGGATCTGGTGGCTTGAATACCAGATCTGGTAACTTGAAAATCATGCCAGGCATGTATGTGTGTGTGTGTGTGTGTGTGTCCAAAATCCCAGGAGAATGGAGAAGGGACTGCAGTGTGGCCATATCTCCTGGGGGTTATTTCTCCTTTCTCTCTCACTGTCTTTTTCCAGTGAGTATACATGTCCTATGGCAAAAATAAATTACAAAAAGGAAAAAAAATAAAGAAGCAAAGAAATAAAACAGAAAAGAGACTTTTAAGTACTCACTAAAAGAACATTAGGTAGATTTATTAAATAATTCACTGTAATCATGATTACCTTTACAACTGTGTGGTAGCTTTTCTGCAAAACACATTAGATTTGGTAGCTCATTTCTCAAAAGAAATTGATTACTTCAACATAACTATTATCCTAAAATTTTAAGTATAAGTATTGAAATAATCACATCATTTAATGAGTTTTTTTTTTAAACTTTTTGTTTTACTGGTCCCTCAACTTCCCTTCATCTGTTTCCATAGAAACAGAACCTTACTAGCGCCAGAAACAGAACAATCTGTAGGCTTCTGTCTCTCTGGAACAGCAGGCTCGTAGTTTACAAAACAACTTAGAGATGTCATTGTTCAGAATAAAAAGATTTTTCTACCAGTCCAGGGCAGAAAGCTTATCTTTAAAGCAGTAAAAGCTCTATTCAACAGGCATACAATGATCAGCAGACATCCTTTCTGGCTAACTTAAGAGAAAGACTTGTCAAAAAGTCCAGATAAAACCTAGCAATGCAACTGATTTTCTCTTGGCTTTAAGCAACGTGCTGTCCACCATTTTCCCACCAATAAGAAGAACATCATGACTCCTAATTAAATTCATAGCTCCCAACTGATGCCTACAGATATATACAAATCTGTATTTCTTTGAGAAAATAGAAAGCTCCATGAGAGAGTGTGAAGTCTATATCAATCTTCACCTTTTCTTCCTTCTTTTTAAAACTATGCCAAAGGGTGTGTGCAGAAAAAAGAGAGACAGAAAAAGAGAGAGAGAGGCAGAGAAAGCACCCTCTATGTGGTGCGGTCATGCTGCAATCCCTTCTTTATCTGTTCAGAATTTTGGGCAAGTGTGCAAATGTGCTTAGGGGCAGGATTCAACTCACATGGTCAGTTATGCGGGATCCAGCTTCTTTAACCACCAGATCACAGGCTGGGCTGGCACTAGATTCTCTGATTAAATGCATACTATGGGCATTTTAAAAAATGTACTACAGGGTGTACGTGCTAGAGAAAAAAAGGAAGTGAAATTGAGAAAGCACCCTGAGGAGGAGACAGCCATGCTATGATATCTTCTCTACTCTAAGGATTTTGGGCATGCACACACATGTACCTGGCATGTTTCTCTAGCTGCCAGGCTTGAGACTCAAACAGAATCAGTCACATGGGATCCAGATGCCCCAACCATCATGCTACTGGCTGGGCCAATACTATGAACATTTTAAGGTTGGAAAATAATAAGCACCACATGTAAATTGCTAATTTTGAAATTTTTTTATAAATTATTTTAGCACAAAGATGCTTAAGATCAGTTGCTAGTTCTGTTGTGTTAATGAGTATTTTTTCAGGACATTCAGAAGTAGACATTCCCATTTATTTCATTTT